CTCACCACCACCCGCCCTCCCAACACATGGGTAACACCCGAGTCTGAACATGTTCAGCGGTCGTTTTCGGATGGATAGCTACCTGGGACCAAAGCCTACCGGGGACCAAAGCCGACGTCAGGGGCGCCACGCGCGCCAGGCACGCCTGGTGCGCCAGATGCGCCACGTGCTCTGCGTGCGGCAGGTGTGCCGCATACTCCCGCCGCACCAGGTGCGCCACGTTCGGGGCACGTGCAGAGTGCGTCCGGTGCGCCCACGCACGTGACAGCACAGATCGGGAAACAAGTGGGCCCCCACCATCCTTGTCGAAAACCAAAGCCCGTCATTGTGTCTGGCGGGCCTGCGCGCAGCAGGCCACGAGCCACCAACCCCGCCGTACCTGTTGAAATCGTTTGATCGTGATCGCGGGGTGGCTGAGCAAAATCTAAGCTTTGCCGCGATGTGCAGTTCGTGCGTTTTCTTTGGACAGGGATGGGTGTCCTGCGCGCAGCAGGGGATATGCTGACACCCCCACCATCCCCGTCAACAACAGTACAGAGTGCCCGCAGGCCTCACGAACATGACCCAAGACTTTTCCCCAACGTGTGCTGTGTATTGTTTTTCCCAACCAACCTGTGTTGTTGGGTCTTCGTTTTGAAGAGACGGTCCCCGCGTTCCTTCCTCCTCCTTCCTCCCTCCTTCCTCCTTCCTCCTCCCCCCTCCTCCTCCTCCTCCCCCCTCCTCCCCCTCCTCATTCTGGCACACCCCTCACACGTTTCGTGGCCCCGTAGGGAGCTCCACCGAAGGCCCCAGTGGCTGCGCCCGCATGCGGTTCCACCCCCCATTCTGGCACACCCCTCACACGTTTCGTGGCCCCATAGGGAGCTCCACCGAAGGCCCCAGTGGCTGCGCCCGCATGCGGTTCCACCCCCCATTCTGGCACACCCCTCACACGTTTCGTGGCCCCATAGGGAGCTCCACCGAAGGCCCCAGTGGCTGCGCCCGCATGCGGTTCCACCCCCCATTCTGGCACACCCCTCACACGTTTCGTGGCCCCATAGGGAGCTCCACCGAAGGCCCCAGTGGCTGCGCCCGCATGCGGTTCCACCCCCCATTCTGGCACACCCCTCACACGTTTCGTGGCCCCATAGGGAGCTCCACCGAAGGCCCCAGTGGCTGCGCCCGCATGCGGTTCCACCCCCCATTCTGGCACACCCCTCACACGTTTCGTGGCCCCATAGGGAGCTCCACCGAAGGCCCCAGTGGCTGCGCCCGCATGCGGTTCCACCCCCCATTCTGGCACACCCCTCACACGTTTCGTGGCCCCATAGGGAGCTCCACCGAAGGCCCCAGTGGCTGCGCCCGCATGCGGTTCCACCCCCCATTCTGGCACACCCCTCACACGTTTCGTGGCCCCATAGGGAGCTCCACCGAAGGCCCCAGTGGCTGCGCCCGCATGCGGTTCCACCCCCCATTCTGGCACACCCCTCACACGTTTCGTGGCCCCATAGGGAGCTCCACCGAAGGCCCCAGTGGCTGCGCCCGCATGCGGTTCCACCCCCCATTTCCACCGAAGGCCCCAGTGGCTGCGCCCGCATGCGGTTCCACCCACCATTCTGGCACACCCCTCACACGTTTCGTGGCCCCATAGGGAGCTCCACCGAAGGCCCCAGTGGCTGCGCCCGCATGCGGTTCCACCCCCCATTCTGGCACACCCCTCACACGTTTCGTGGCCCCATAGGGAGCTCCACCGAAGGCCCCAGTGGCTGCGCCCGCATGCGGTTCCACCCCCCATTCTGGCACACCCCTCACACGTTTCGTGGCCCCATAGGGAGCTCCACCGAAGGCCCCAGTGGCTGCGCCCGCATGCGGTTCCACCCCCCATTCTGGCACACCCCTCACACGTTTCGTGGCCCCATAGGGAGCTCCACCGAAGGCCCCAGTGGCTGCGCCCGCATGCGGTTCCACCCCCCATTCTGGCACACCCCTCACACGTTTCGTGGCCCCATAGGGAGCTCCACCGAAGGCCCCAGTGGCTGCGCCCGCATGCGGTTCCACCCCCCATTCTGGCACACCCCTCGCACGTTTCGTGGCCCCATAGGGAGCTCCACCGAAGGCCCCAGTGGCTGCGCCCGCATGCGGTTCCACTCCCATTCTGGCATACCCTTCACACGCTTCGTGGCCCCATAGGGAGCTCCACCGAAGGCCCCAGTGGCTGCGCCCGCATGCGGTTCCACCCCCCATTCTGGCACACCCCTCACGCGTTTCGTGGCTCCATAGGGAACTCCACCGTGCGCCCCAGTGGCTGCGCTCGCATGCGGTTCCACCCCCCCATTTCGGCACACCCCTCACTCGTTTCGTGGCCCGGGGGCGCCACCGAAGAATATATCCACACTTGCGGTATTCACAACTACGTATGGTTGGGTCTTTCGTCAGGCTAATTTGAAAAAGGGATTGTGGTGGAAGGCCGCATACGGTTAAGCGCGCATGCTCCAAATTAAGAGGCCGAGTGCGTTTTGTTTTGTTTTTTTTGAGAAGGATGGTGGGGTGTGTGGCCCACGTGGGGTTGGCATGGTTCCCGGTTGGCCGCCGGCTGGGTGGGGGAGGGTCTCTATATATATATATATATATATATGTATATATATATATATGTATATATCAATAGGGAACAGTGATCAAGGCACCCTCCAAGGTAGCAAACCGTATAGCTCACTCCCACCCGCCCTCCCAACACATAAATAACACCCGAACCTGAGCATGTTCAGCGGTCGTCTTTGGATGGGCATTTACTGGGAACCAAACCCGGCCCCAGGCGCGCGATGCCGGGGCGAAGTGCGCCACGCGTGCCATGGGCGCCACGTGCGCCAGGCACCTCTGGGGCCCGATCGTGCCAGGCACGCGTGGTGCGCCAGATGCGCCATGTGCTCCGCGTGCGGCAGGTGCGCCACATACTCCAGCCGCACCAGGTGCGCCACGTTCGGGGCACGTGCAGAGTGCGTCCGGTGCGCCTTTGCACGTGACAGCACACATCGGGAAACAAGTGGGCCTCCGCCATCTTTGTCGAAAACGCCCATCATTGTGTCTGGTGGGCCTGCGCACGGCAGGCCATACGCCACGAACCCCGCCGTCCCTGTCAATTGACAGTGGTCGCGGGGTGGCCGGGCAAAATTTTGATTTTGCCGCGGGGTGCATTTTGTATGGTTCCTTGTCAGGGACGGTAGCCCTGCGCACAGCAGGGAATGTGCTTACACCCCCGCCGCCGGCCTCACGAGCATGATTCAAGACTTTGCCCAAGAGTTGACATTGTACTGTATTGTTTTTTGAGAGGGATGGTTGGGGGGGCCGCGGGGGGTTGGCCGCGCATGCTCCAACAGTGGAGGCAAAGTGTGTTTTTCCCCATCAGAGCTTGCCTCTCTACGGGTCCTAGCGGATTCATATGGTTAGGTTAGGTTTGTCGCCGATTTTCGCTGCACGCCCGGGTGCCCGGGTGCCCTGGGGTGCCCGGGGCCCGGGTGCTCGGGGGGTGCCCAGGGGTGCCCGGGGGTGCCCTAGTGCCCGGGTGCCCATGTGCCCGGGCACGGGCGTGCCCGGGGGTGCCCGGGGGTGCCCAGGGGTGCCCGGGGGTGCCCTATAGCCCTATAGTCCCAAGCCCTATAGCCCTATAGCTCTATAGCCAAATAGCCCAATAACCCTATAGCCCTACAACTCTATAGCCCTATAGCTCTATAGCTCTAGAGCTCAATAGCCCTATAGCCCCCTAGCCCTATAGCCCTGATTGGGGTGTTTCTCCGGTATCATGTATTTAATCGCTTCGCTCATTCCGCCGGCCCGTATTGTGCCATCGCAGGCGTTTGCTTGCGCGTTCGTGGCCTCTTGGAGCCTCGTTGGGGCCGTTTGGGGCCTCTTGGCGCCTCTTTTTAGGCCTCTTGGAGAACTCGGGAGGCCTCCAGGGGGCCTCCTGAGCTCTCGTGACGGTCTCTTGGGGGGCTTTCGGCGGGCTCTTGGCGGTATTTGTTGGTCCTCTTGGGGCCTGGGGCCTGACGTTGTTGGTCCTCTTGGGGCCTCACGGGAGCTTATTGGGGCGTCTTGGGGGTGTCTTGGAGAGTCTCTTGGGGCCTCTTTCGGGGTCCTGGGCGCCTTCTGGGGCGGAGGGCTCGATTTTTCAGTTCTCGGTTCCCTTCTTGAGCCCCTCTTGGGCCCGTCTTGGGGCCTCTTGGTCCGCCTTGGGCGGCACTTGGGCCGTCTGGGGGGCGCTCTTGGGCCGCTCCGGGGCCGTCTTGGGAGCCTCGTGGGCCGTCTTGGAGCAGTCTTGAAGGCCTCTTGGGCCCTCTTGGAGCGTCCGGAAGCGAAAAGGCCAGAACGCAAAAAAACATAGAAAAAACCAATGAAAATCAACGATGTTGGCAACTTGGGGCCCTCTTCGGAGGCCTCTTGGAAGGCCCTTGGAGCGTCTTGGAGGCCTCCTGGGCTGTCTTGGGGCCATCTAGGGCGTCTTCGGGCGATCTTTGGCCGTCTCGGGCCTCTCTTGGACCGTCTAGAAAGCTTCTCGGGGCCCTCTTGGACCGATCTGGAGCCCTCTTGGACTCCGAAACAGAACTCCGGCATCTCTGGCCCGACCTTGTCGGGACCTTGCCGGGGACTTGCCGCGACCTTGCCGGGGTATTTTTCGTCCGGGGACCCCCAGGGGCCGCCCCGCGCGCGCGAACTAGAAATACTGTTAACCAGGTACCGGAGATCTTAGCACGCCCTGGCCCTTTGGGCCGGCGATTTTTTTACAGGGATGGTGTGGTGGGGGGGTGATCATGGTGTCCTTATTGTTCCTGGTTGGCTGCTGGTCGCCTGGGGGATGGGGTGCATATCAATAGGGAACAGTGATGAACCCCTCCCCGACGGGGGAGAAGAGGGTTGGAAGATGAAACGTCCCAAACCACTCACGCCTCAAAGGGCTGGTGGGATTCGGGGCTTGCTAGGCTCCAAAACATGTCGGACAACTACTTCTAGATTCGAGCATGAGCGGCTAGGAACGCGCAGCAGATGCGTTATTGCATGCACATCTGTGTACATCAGTTCTTCGACGATGTATTCGCAATCGTTCGCTGTACGTCGAGGCAACTAGGCAACGACACTGATCGGGCGGTTCAGAGATGGGGCCCTGAGGGACGATGCGTCGGATATCATGCGTCGGATATCAATGAGCAGCGCGCCGATACGTCAGTGCTGCTCGCACTTGACATCACAGGGGCTTGTCGACGAGTGCCCCTGATGTCAGTGGGTCGCCCGACCACAGGTCGTGGACTCCGCCCCTTTCTGAAGTGTTTTGCTTGCGTCGGATAGCAGTGAAGGGCGCGCCGATAACGCAGAGCTGCTCGCACTTGACATCATAGGGGCCAGTCCGTCTGGTTGTTTCTGAAGTGCTTGCTGGCGTCGGATATCATTCAAGAGCGCGCCGATACGTCAGTGCTGTTCGCACTTGACATCATATGGGTCTTTCCACACTAACTCCTGATGCCGATGTGTCTCCTGACCACGGGTCGTGACGTCCGGTTTGTTTCTGACGTGTGTCGTTGCGTTGGATATCATTGAAGAACGCGCCGATATACCAGAGCTGCTCGCACTTGGGCTTAGAGGGGCCTGTCCACGAGTATCCGTAATGTCAGTGGGTCGCCCGACCACAGGTCGTGGCGTCCACCTCATTCTGAAGAAGTTTATCGCTTGCGTTGGATATCAGAGAGCTGCGCGCCGATACGTCAGAGCTGATCGCACTTGACATCATAGGGGCCAGTCGACGCTCACCCCTGATGTCAGTTGGTCGCCTGGCCACGGGTAGTGGCGTCTGCTTCTTTCTGAAGTGTTTGCTTGCGTCGGATATTATCATTGAAGAGCGCGCCGATACGTCAGTGCTGCTCGCACTTGGAATCACAGGTGTCGGTCAACGCTCACTCCTGATGCGAGTGAGTCTTCAGACCATCGGTCGTGGCGTGTGCTTCTTTCTGAAGTGTTTCTTGCGTCGGATATTATCATTGAAGAGCGCGCCGATACGTCAAGCTTGCGTCGGATATCATTCAAGAGCGCGCCGATACGTCAGTTCTGCTCGCACTTGACATCACAGGGGCCCGTCAACGTTCACCCCTGACGCCCGTGAGTCGCCCGACCATCGGTCGTGGCGTCTGCTTGTTTCCGAAGTGTGAGCGTGCGTCGGATATCATGGAAAAGCGCGCCGATACGTCAGTGCTGCTCGCACTTGGCATCACAGGGGCCGGTGGGGATCCGACCCTCCAAGCGTGCTCCCTCTCTTCTTGGGCCTCGGCGGGCCCTCCGCGGCGATCGTGGCAGCGATGAGAGAGAAACACCTTTATCTGTCGGGCTCTCGCAATTGATAGCCGCAAGTGCTTCAAGCCGGCTGTCAGCCAAACGGTTATGGACGGAGGAGGGACAGCAAACACAGCAACAGAGAGACAGGGCAGAGATGCATGTACACAGAAAGGGGTATTAATGAGACAGGGGGACGAGTCTGGTCCGGGGAGCTCGGCTTTTCCACGTGGATCCTAAATCTTTGCGGACTCGAGCCCATCGCCTGAGCAAAGCCAGAAACACGCCAAATGTTGTTCAGAAGCCTGTGTAGCTTCTCCAGAAGTCAACAGTATCTCCAGAAGTAAGCACTCTTCTCTAGGAGCAGAAAACAATATCTCCAGGAACACGCATGCTGGAGCTACCCGCCAACCTGTACAAATACATATAGACATATGTAGGCCTGTGCTCAATGTTCGCACTTTGCATTCTCTCGCAGCTAAAACTGTCATGCGGATGTCCGTTCTCTGAGGGTGGGAAAAATACAGGCAGGTGTGTGCGCGGTACGTCGGGCTCGAGCGTGCGAAACATGACGCAGCCTCGGCACAACGACGCGCGAGGGGGAGGTATGAACAAGGAAAGAGAGGGGTGCTGATTAAGCTTTCAGAGCTCTTGGCGAGAACTGTCCGTCCTTGGCCAGCTCCCTTCACGCGCGCCTCCCAGTGCTCACGGGCCACTCGCCTGGCCGCCTTCACGATGTCCTCACGAAACTCCGTAGTCCACGTGCCACGAAACAGAGCCTTCGCAAATGGTCCGCCGCCATATCTTTCGTCAGCACGTCACTCAACGTCGTAGTTCCGTCCGTTCATCTTACCGTCGTCTGAAGTCTGTTCAAAGTCTTTGATGCTGGCGAGCTCCAAGTTCACCGATTTCCGAGTCGAGCTGCCCACGCTGGCGTCCGAGTTAAGCCGATCGTGGCCGTCCTTGGAGTCCGTCACGACAGTCATCCGGATCTGCCAGCCAGGGAGCCTTACACCCGCACCCGTCGGCACAGGTCCGTAGAGCATCTCCCCGATCTGGTCGCGCAACCCTTGGGCTACGTCCACCGCGTCACGGACCGCGGTTTCCCCGACCGCGTAGGAACTCTTCGCGGCCCGCTTCTGCTTGTGGCTCTTGCCCTCCAGGAGGGAGAAACGGCCGACACCCCCGTCCACGAACTCTTTGTCCGCGAACAAAATCAGGTAGCCGTCTTGGGTGCCAATCTTCTCGGATGCCGTGTCGGGCTGAAGTGCAGTCCCGTCAATCATCATGTTGCCGAGCGAATTGTCTGAGACCACCACCAGCCCGAGCCTCCCCAGGTCTATCGGGCGCAACACGAGCCGGAAGGTGGAGTCTCGCTTAAGCTCCCGCAGCACTTGGTTCGCCTTGATCAAGCCTGCGGTCCTAGGCCCCTTCTTCCGGCCCTTCTCACGCTGCAATGCCGCCAAGTCGTAGGAGTATTCCACGCGTCGCTTCGTCACGAGCCAATTGACTTTGCCAACGACCTGCTGGTACTGCTGCCACTCGGTCGCGTTCATCGGAAGGTTTGGCGCAGCTCTGTGGCCCCTGGGCACAGTCACAGGCTCAAGGCCAGCAGCATAATCCATCATGCCAATATGAATGGCTCCTCCAGGTTTGCGCTTGAACCGTCTGCCGCAAAACGCGAAGTCGTCATACTCCTTAGTCCCAAAGCCAAACTCCTTGCCCAGCTCGCCCATCACCTTCGCCATCTTCTCGCTGCCGGTCTAGAGGAAATCGTCCACGTGAACGCATGCACATTCCCGCAGACTGTCTGGGCCACGCTTCTTCGTGTTCGGGTCGTGCAACGCCAGAGAAGCTGGGTCCGATCGAGAGGCCTCCAGGCCCAGCTTGCGGGCGGCGGAAATCACCTTCAGGTGCCAAAGCTTCGGCGCCGTGGGAAGTCCGAAAACTCCCTTCCGCGCTCCTGCCAGTCGGCCTTGAGGGAAGTCAACCGGCCCTGGACCGTGCAGCGGGGCCCGAGTAACCAAGCCCCTCTCGTCGATCTCCCCTTTGAGAAAAGCGCCGCTGACATCCTTGGAACCGAATTTCCAGTCCTTGTGCGAGGCCGCCACGGGGGTCAAAATGATCTCTGATTGGGTCGTCGCACAGGGCGCGTCCACCCGGACATTCAACTTCTCGTCCGAGCGACCCGGGTCTTCGCTGTTGACCACGAGCCGGGCGTTCGCCTTCACGGGCAGGCTGTTGGACTCGTTCTTCAACGGGTCATTCTTGTCGGTCAGCGCTCACTTCGTGCTAGGTACGTAGTCGCCCTTTCCTTCGCGCTTCATGGGCTCCTCGAGCTTCAACGACTCCTCCTTCGTGAGCACCTCCGTGGACTCGGTGTCAACCCGCTTGCTCCGCTGAGGTGCCGCGACTTCCTCGTAGTCTGCCATGGTCGGCGGATCCATCCGACTCCGCGCCTTTCCCTTGTGGGACTGTCCCTGAATCGACGAGACCTCAACTCGCAGATCAGGTCGAGAGACGGTCTCAGGATGATCCAGGAGCCTCCTTCTGTCGACCTTCGGGGCCTCCTTCAGCCAGTTGGTGGCCCTCTTCGCCGCATTTTTGACCCGCAGCACGTCGCCTGGCGGTGGGGGTCCGTCTCGTCCACCTCGCGAGGGTGCTTCTGGAAGCCCAGCTGCTTCTGCGTCGCGCTTCTGCCTCTGACTCGGTGCGCGAGGCGCATCTTCCGGAGGAGGTCTAACGTCGACAGGAGTCTGAGGTCGCTCCGCCTGTTGAAGTGGAGGCGTGCTCGGGGCGAAGTTGCCGTAGGGACCGAACTGTCCGTCTGGAACAAGTACTTGGACAGGTGGAGCTGATGCTGCAGGTTGCTGAGCCGACGTCTACTGAGGATGTCGCTCCAATGTCTGGCCTGTTCGCTTCTGGATCGCTCTCGCAATCCGACGCGCCTTCGACTTCTCTGCATCCAGCCCTCGAGCTCGGAGCTGGTCCGCAACTTCTTTTAGGAGGTCGGTGCGCCAACTGGGCCCTGAGCTAAGTTACTCTTTCTCGAAAGCTCCATGCTGGAAATCTCATTGGGTTCGTTCTTGGTATCGGCCCCGGACCATGGCGGCCGTCGTGCCTGACGCGGTAACCTCGCCTGGCCCTGGCTCCTGCTCGTCAGAGCCCTCAGCTGCTTCAATCTCCTTCTCGGAGCCTCGATCATCATCGCGGCTCTGATCCTGCAGGTTGGTGGCGCCCCCCATCAGCGGCTGCGTCTCGCTCTCCATGTCGGCCAGGGCCTTCTCCATGATGTTCAGCTGCTCCCGGGCGCTCATGCAGAGGGCTTCGTCAGGCGAAGCACGTCGAAGTGCAGCTGGGTCGCACTTCGAAGACGGCTCGACGCCAATGGCCACCGCGGGCCCGTGCCAGGCCCTGAACAGGAGTGAAGGCCCCTTCCGCCGCCGATTCTTCCGGCGTCCTCCGCGAAAGAAGTGGGCCGCGTCGCCGAGCTTCGCGTTGCCCCGCGCAACTTCTTGCTGGCGTCGAGCTTCTCCAGAGCCACCTTGGCCGCGCTGTGGATCTGCAGGCGCATCGTCGTGTGCGAGTCGTTCTCCAGGGAGTCGCGCACCGCGAGCTGAGAGCGGCCCCGTTCGCCCAGCAGCCCCCGCGGCCGCTGCGGAGCCCAGCCGAGAACCATCTGCCCTGGAGAACCCAGACTCGTTGATGCGGCGGTTCTTGGCCCAGGATCACCGCGGTCGCGGACGACGCCTCCAGGTCGGTCTCGATCTCCGCCTCGGCAGTGCTCGCGCGCCAGAGTGCCTTCCACTCGCCTCCAGCCCGCTCGCGCATGCCGTCCTGCCGCGGCGACTCCGCAGCAGTAAACCATGCCAACGCCGCAGCCTTCCAGCAACCGAAGCACTTCCTTGAAGTGTTCGCCGCCTGTCTGCCACGAGAGAGTTGGGGGCGCCCGCCCAACTGAACCATGCGAGCTCCAACGCCGAGGCCACGATGCCCGGGTGCTTTCTCTTTGTGGGATAACGACTTGGAAGCCAGTCTTGATGTCCACTCTCTTCTGCACCCCTTGCGCCTGGCCTGAGCTCGTGTGGGCTGTGAACAAATCCATCGCAATCCGGCCCCCGAATTCTTTCGCCTTCTTGGGCCTCGCCAGGAAGCGCGCGTGACCGACGGCCAAGCGATTCAATTCGCGATGCGCAGGGCACGCCAGCTGCTCCGCCGCAGCGATCGCCTCATCACTCGCTCCACAAGCTCGACAGGCTCGAATGAGTTGTTCTCTCGAAGGATGTCGGAGATTCTTGTGGGCCCTCAAAACTGCACGCCGAACCTCCTTCGAGATCTTGGCCTTCGTGAGCTCGGACTTGCTCTCCTCTTCATTGCGCGCCGGGTGATCCGCGAATCCCAAATCATCCATCTCCTCAGGATCGGCCTCGTCCACGTTGAGCAAGCACTTCCCAGGGCTTTCGACTGATGTCGAACAGGACCTTGACCCCCGTCGCGATGCTCTTGGCGAGCTGCTTCATATAGAAGAGACCTGTGCGCCTCGTGACGCTCGGTCCTTCGATGATGATTTCGCGCGGGTGAGTGCCGTCGCACTTCTGCTCGAGGGCGACCGGCAGCTCTGGGTGCGATCCCGCGAATCTCGTCGTCTTTCGATGGGGCCTTCTACGCTCAGACTTGAGTCCGTACGCGCACTTGTCGATCTCCACAGCGTGTCCTCGCCATGAGATCCACCGCAGCTCGTGCCGAGCCCGCGCTCGCGACGTCCTCGGGTTCTCAAACAGTCAGGCGCCGCCGTGTTCCTCTTGGACCTTGGCCACCTGGTCGCAGAAACGCAGGAACGTGAGGTGCCACCAGTTTCGGTTTCTTCGTCCTCACCTCCTGAAGTACTTCGCGCTGACGCTGCGGACCCTTCAGATCGTCCCCAAACTCCATCGAGGCATTCCTCGTAGTCGGCAGACCCCGTCGATCAGCTTCCCAACGTGCAGTTTTTTTAGTCGTGGAGATCTGCAAGACCCAGGGCAGCCTCTTAATGTCGTCGGGTTCCTCACTCACGACCGCCTCGCACTCGGCCTCCCGCGCGTCGAAGTCGTGGGCGACCTCCGTGAGGAAGACCTGGGGCTCAAAATTCAACGTCTTCAGATCTCGCCGCCAGGACTGGGGCTG